TATTCGATCCGGTGATGAAGTACTATGAACCACACGAAGGTGAAATTATCACTGTACGTTTTTCTCCAAATCGTAAGGACATGTTCATGTCTTGCGGCACCGATGGTGAAATACGAATTTATTTAACCAAGCAGGTACGCTCCTGGGTAGGTGATTGGAAGGTTAACATTTTCTTGCAGGAATCTCCGGCTAGAGTTATTTTTGTGGAAGAGTTATATCACGTATCGTGGGTGCCATTTCATGAGCATCTTATAACGGGATGCGGCAAGAAAGGATTATTAGAAATATTTCATTTAATTTCCGGTCAACCGATACCCAACGTATCTACTGATAAGGTATTGCCCACTTCGTTATTGCAAATTGAAGTGAATAAGCAACGGTGAGAACTATTTATGTTATACCTAATGAAATCCATTCTTGTTTAGTTGTACAATTGTTGCAGTAGGCAATAATCGAGGAGAGTTGCAGTTATGGTCTGTTCCTTGGGGACATTTTTCTTCAGTTAATTCGGTGGAATAAACGACTTCTCAAAATTCAGGCAATGTTTATGTTCAAAGTGTAATTGACTTTTTGGGAGGGGGTTGCTATTTTAGTAAACAATAAACACCCTGATAATTACTGTTTAATATTTCGCTTTGAGTTTTCCCTCGCAATCCACTTTAGTTAGGAGTGCACCTGTACTCGATTTCTTTGCTTCTCAGTGCACCTGCTTGTGCACGATAAACCCCTACTATTAAAATCGCATGTCGATGTTCAGCACCTAATATTGAAGAAGTGGTTCCCAGTCCTAAATACTTAGAGCCAAATTCAGAGTCCTTCCTAATTTCAAACTCACACTCAGATCCTACTAATTTCAACCTAAACTCTGACATTGGTATTCAGAAACAAATTAGACTGAATGAGTGACTAAAATCTTACTAACTAGTGAGTAAGAGATGAGTACGATGTAAGTCAGCTTTGGACTACCCTTAAGTGTCACTAATTTAAAATAACTTGGTTATGTCAAATGTGTTTCCTGTGTTTGTTAGAATATTTTATTGCAAAGTAGTTTTTAAGTGTGTTGTTATAGACATTGGCCCGTATATGAATAAAAGTAAGCAAATGCTTATACTTGAAAAATTCAAAGTAAATACTCGTAAGTGCTCCTTCGCACTGGGCGACTTAGCAGCGCTTCTAAGCAGAAGGACAGGACGCAGTGCAGCGCTGCTAAACCATGCTAAACAGACCAGTATGAAGGGGCAGTTGCGAGTATTTACTTTGAATTTTGCAAGTATAAGCATTTGCTTACTTTTATTCATACGGGCCATTATCTTAGTAAGTAAGGACTAGGACACGATTGCCTGCCAGACCTTTTTTCGTTGTGACACGGACACAGCATCGATCTTCTTACATTCGACGATGTTAATATACCGGGTCACAATTTCTTAAAAAAAATTCACAGATTTCGCAATCCTTGCAACCATCGGAGGCATTGGAAATAATAACCGTACAAGTATCACTTGCTCCACTCGCTCGCAAGCTTGCTCGTGTTTAAATATATATTTTTTTATAGATTCGAATTAACAAAACCCTTGCGCACTGTTAAGTAAGTACCTACCGTATCGACAGTATCCGCGACTTTTCCTGAATCTACCGATTGCAGTCAAGTACGGGACAATCATCACTTGATGCGACACCAATTGTCTTCTTTTCTGCTCGACTAACCAGTAACTTCAAACCCCTACAAAACATAAGCATTTCCAATGCTAAAAATCTTCTCATCTCGGGTTATAAATGGTTTTTTATTGGCGTTCATAGTTATGACGATAAGAACAATATTAACAGTAACAAAATTAATAACCCCAATAACATAAACTAATAAGAAGACTAACAAAAACTATGAGATTTGCGAAAACGTCAGAAACAAGTTCAAATTAAATATCTGTTTATGCTGAAGTTAGCCTTTCCAGAGCGGTTTGTTAGTTACTTGGTAAAATTTCCACTACCAATCGTTCCCCTAACAATATTTTTGACAGATTCCATACTAAAACCCCACTCAAATTAGTCACTCAATACAGATGTTCTCTGAATACCAAAAGTGAGAATGAGCAGGATTCTCACTAACTTGAGTTAGAAATGAGTGACTAACTAGTTGAGTGTGAGTTTGAAATTAGGAAGGACTCTGAATTCGGCTCTTAGTGGCGTAGCTTGAAACTTGAAACTTTGACATATGCCTGGCGTCGCCGCCTCTCCCAGGATTTAGGGCCGGTATTTCCATTTTCGGATAAAGTACTAGATTCCTACCTGCAAAATAACTTATACCGCCCGATATCTTCCGTTTATCTATCTGCGGGTATTTCCATTGGCGTGCGGTATAAATATATCCCGTAGATAGCTACTTAACCATAGCCAATGTTGCCGATTTTAGAAGTCTGTAATAGAAAAAGATAGCGAACGGCAGAGCCATATATTAGAGAAAGATAGCTTACTACCTGACAATTTGAACGAATGCTTTTGTTTTTGAAAGAAATTCAGTGACTTATAATATACTTGTCAAACGTAAATTACAGAATAAGCCTTACTTATGAGTAGGTACTCTGAACATGAACCAAAATCGTGATGTAAATGCACCTCGTAGAAAGAAAAGAACTGCTAATTTCAGCACATCTGAAAATCGTGTGCTTGTGGATTTGGTTATCGAGTACAAGGACGTCCTGGAAAATAAACGCAGTGATGGGTGTTACTCGGGCAGAAAAAAATAATTGCTGGGCTCATATTGCCCAACAATGTAATGCAAAGTCTGGAATTAATAATCGTACAGCCGAAGCTAATCGTATGCAAAGATCACCTCAAATAATTCTTCGTCATCGGATTCGAATAAGTCAAGAAAATCTTGATCCATTTGGAATCTAAAATAGGTTACCTATATCCTTCAAGAAAACATAGTATGTATTTGAGTACTTCTACTTGCATACTTCCATTTCTTTCTTCCTATTTAGTATAAGTACGGTTGGTAATTTCGCAAATTTTTAAAACGTCACCAGTCTACTAGTAGTTTTACGCAATATCTAGGGGTTATATTGATAACTCCAGAAAATCTACCCAATAACTTTATTTAGAGTTTATCCTGCCGATAATATTTAAACGAGGTTCGAAATACCCGAAGCGACGCTAACTGTCGGTTTACCTGGAAGATATCTTATACTTGACTTTATCCCGAGATGGAAATACCGGCCCTTAGTAAACTGTCGTGGGGATGCGTCCCTGGTATAGGTACTATCAGGGGCGTTTCACCACTACTTTTATTTGGGGCCCCTTTGTGTCTTGTGAGGTAATACTTGTAAAATCCTTTAATTATATAAATACTAACGGTAACGGTAGCTCTAAATTTCGATTTATTTCTTCACAGTTTAGGCATTAGATTAGTAATCATAGAACGTCTTCAGGGTGTAAAAATTAGAGGATCCAATAAATTCTATTTGGTGGAATTGTAAAGATTGGTAAGTAGTTGGTGGAATTAACTGTTGTTTCTTGTTATACGTCAGTGAACTGACCAAATAACTAATTCCGCAAATCGGTGTCGCCTGTCAGTCTGGAGTTTGGATTAGATTCGGTATCTTACTTAGGGCTACACGATTAAAATTGCGAATTAGGCATTAGGCCATCTGCATATCGTGGGATTTGCAAAAGAAGTAAGAAATGAAGTAGCGGTTATTGCGGAAGACTTTAAGCCAATTCGCGTTTGAGCCATCGATACGACCAGTGTGTGGTCCATAGTAAGATTTTGCATTCATTCGGGCTTGGCGGTCTGTTAGAAAAAGTGATTACGACAATTTACGCGGAAGAAAATATCCGCGTGTGTCCGCAGTTGGATAAATAAAAACACAGAAGCAAGTATAATTGAATGTGTCAGTTTATTACACAACAAAAGAGGATTATTCTGGAATCGGACGCAAAAATACACACGATTCTCTAGCATAAAAAATGATCCTATTTCGACAAAGGATAATTGGCGCTAGTGCTAGTGCGTAGTTCGCATTCGTAATCGTAATACTAAAATTGTTCTGCAAAAAATATTGGTGGAGAAGTAATCTATAAAACTTTAATACCAATAAGAATCTTGCTTGCTTACAATCTAAACACAGAAATGCATCGTTCGAAAAAACTACATCCAGAGAACAATTGATTGAGAACTTAATGCAGTGCCATTTCCCAACGGGAAGCTCCAATCTACAGCTACATTCTTTGATTTTTTCGAAATACTGTCAATGTACGGAGGGCCGTGCGAGCTCGTTCTATTTGCAGAAGAAGGTTCTTTTTACGAGATTCGTTTATTTATGTAAAAAAATAAGGGTTGTATAATGTATATCTTTCACAAAAATCATCGTAACTTATAATCGCTGAAAGTTTAAATCTGTGTTTTCTTAAACCTCTGGGTAAATTTGAAGCCGTTTGTATTGCATGTATTTTTACTATTGATGAACCCATTTGAATTTGATAGAGAAAATCAGTTTCCCATTTAAAACAAGAAAATCTCATGGGTTGATTATCATTATTTATAAGGTCACTTGATCTAGTTATTCTTTGATTTTTTACATCAATACGTCCAAACCTTTACAGTAATTTTATGTTTGATTCTAAAAGCAAAACAGGCGTTCAAGTAACATTTATGGTACGTCAGTTATTTTGCTAAAGAATTTTTAAATTCATTTAGAACGTCAAAATTTTATTTTAAAGAAGAGACCCCCTTTATATGGAAACCCATTGCAACTGATGCCAAAAAGGCCAGTGAAGTTGACGCAATCGAAGGTGCTGAAGAGTGCAATGAAGATAAGCTAAAGATTCAAGGCAACCGAGGAAGCTGAGAAATGGATGAGTTTACTTTGGGGATCTCGCTCTGTACTAATGACTCTGTGGAAACAATTAAAGGTAAAAGTGAGAGAAGGAAAAGGAACCTAAATACACGAATAAATTAGAGACAAAAGATTCCGTAAATCACGAAGAAAAAGAAAAAGCTGCCGTGAAACTCGGGAGAACCGATGAGCAGAGGGCGTTGATAAAATAAGCCGAAGTAGTCGAACAAGCCGAAAAAATGTTAAAGAGGACGAGGTTCAGAGGGATGTGGAAGAGGTCGACCTATCCAAAGAAGGTGAAGAAGGTCAGAAAGCCAAGAAAGTAATTAAGAAAATTTTGCAGGTAAGTGTTTGAATGAAAATGTTATGATTTTCTTTTATTTCAAATATTGAGACACCCTGTAAATATGGCTTGTAAGTGCAAACCAAACTTATTCGGTGTATCTTTGCGCCATAACCGATCCCTGCACAACTTGATCTCTAGGGGCCACTTTAACATATGGAACTTCTCGGCCTGACTATCCGAGTGGCAAAAAAGCACTACTCTATGTCCTTAAGTGCTGCACATATTTTTTTTTGTAATTTTCTAGCATATGTTAAATTCACATTTTAATAGGTTTGAATACGTAGACGAAGTGTCGTTTTAACCGTAAGGGCAGATAAAATGATCACTTTAACGAAAAATGTAACAAATCATTGTGCATTCTAACGACATCTGTTTTATTAAAAATGGGACGCGGAGAAAGATATAAAATGAAGTTCAGAATAGAATGCAATATTCTTTCCTTAAAAACGACGAGGGAACCTAAGCTTGCTATGTTGGAGGTCTAAATTAAATACTTATAGAATTTTCAGAAGTTTTGTAATGATTTCTTATGCTTCTGCTATAAAATAAGGTTTTGTAATATACATGATAAAGGGAAACTAACCATTGTCTTGTATAATAAGTAATTATTATTTAGGTAGGTACCTTTATAAACATATTGTATTTTTACTAACCTTCTGAATGATACCTTTGCTTAGTTTTTCAATACGTACTTCAATGCGGTATCTACTTATAATTAGTTAATTTAAAATGAAATTCTATGTTTATATGAACGCGTTGCCCAGTTTGGTGTCAGTGGACAACAACGTACTTAGACACTGCGCAAAAATATAATTTGACAAAATGTCATTGCTATCACGTATTTTAATGAAAATTTCTTCACGCCCAAATACACGTTTTATGCAAAAGTGGTACCCCGATGCGGAATGGTTTCGCCAATTTGATGGACCCGTTATGTTCAATCGAGAAAAATTCAAGCACTGGAAAATTCAACCATGGAATGGAAAATTACCTATGGTCGAGAAGAAGGTTAGAAATATGGTAATTAATTTCGGGCCAGCACATCCAGCAGCCCACGGCGTCTTGAGATTGATTTGTGAACTCGAAGGTGAAGTAATTCGAAGAATTGATCCTCATATTGGGCACTTACATCGAGGTACCGAAAAACTCTGCGAGCATAAGACTTACTTACAGGCTTTACCATATTTCGATCGTTTTGATTACGTGTCTCCCATGTGCAATGAGCACGCCTTCTGTTTGGCACTTGAAAAATTGCTAAACATCGATATACCGAGAAGAGCAAAGTTTATCAGAACCATTTTTATTGAATTAACTCGTTTGTTGAGCCATGGGTTAAGCGCAGCATCTCAACTTTTGGACGCGGGTGCAATAACACCAGTGTTTTGGGTATTTGAAGAAAGAGAAAAAATCTGGGAATTTTGTGAACGGGTTAGTGGCGGAAGAGTGCATTCGATATATTTTCGGGTAGGAGGTGTTGCACGGGTAGGCATACATTTCATTCCAAAAACTCTTGCATACAAATTGCTTTGTCACTTCAGGATCTACCAATCGGGCTATTGGACGATATACAGCTCTTTACTGAACGGTTCTGTCAGCGTCTAGACGAAATTGAAGATGTAACTACAAATAACAGAATTTGGTTAGCGAGGAATGTAGGCATTGGGGCGATTAGTGCGGAAGATGCAATTAACACTGGTTGTTCGTAAGTGTACTCTTTTATTATTGAGATTATCTGTTACACCACTCCATGGTGATTGTTTTCGGCAAAATAATTCAATATTAACTGGTCTAACAAGAAAAATACTTCCATATAAAATGAAACATTAAACCAAACATTTATTGGATCTTAATCAACGACGTAAATCACCTACATATATTTTCAGAGGAACTAATTTACGCGCGACTGGAGTAAAGTGGGATCTCCGAAAAAATCTTCCTTACGAGATTTATGATGAATTGGATTTTGATGTTCCTGTGGGTGCTAACGGTGACTGCCATGACAGGTAAGCGTAACATTGTTTACTTCTGGAATTATCAATTAAACAAAATTTGAATTTTAAGTTTTGTATTTACTTTTGTACCTACCTACCGATGCTTACAAACCTTGTGTCCTCGATTCTTTCCACATAAGTATTTCCTCAAGCTTGCCCATTTTATAAATTACATTTCTATTTTTACAAGTTCATATGGTAATGGTTGGGCACATGATATGTGGTAACCCATGGAGCGTCAAATATAGTCAGTAATTCTTTACATTGGTTATAATGCGTTCCGTAAAATGGAAATGCCCAAAATTACTCTTATAACTTAGAGTTTTTACAGCCAATAAAAGCACGAATTAATTGTCTATAACGTTTTTACCGGTTGCCATTTTATTTATAATATTATTAACTCCTCGTACAAACAAATTATCTGCATAACTTTGATTGCTTTTTTTAACGAAACGTCATTCCAAATACAGCGCAACAAAATGTTCTCCACCTTAGACCCCAACGATTTCATGGTAACAATTCATTTAAGCACTAGCACAATTATCCAATAATGTACCGAAACGAAAATGTTAGCTCACGGTTCATACACGGTAACGATTCGCAATATTATTAGACATGGATTTGTCCATCACTTCATAGCAATCATCTTTTTAGGATTATGCAAAAATTAAAACAAAATATATTTATGAATTCTGTGTATAAGTGTAATATGAGGGTGCGAATCGAATTAACATCGCACATCAGTTACCAGGAGGTACTCCCTGAACATGAAAAAAATCCATCTTGTGATTTTATGTTGTTCTTTACAATTAAAAACTTAGTTGTGCTATCTTCGTTCTTCTTTCGTGTGTTTCTTTTTCAGGTTCCTTCGCGCTATCGTTATATCTTCATGGCACTTCTTCCTCCACGCTCTGCATGTTGTTTACGCGTGGTTCCTTGCAGAGCTGGGCAGAATACTTTCAAAAAGTATTTGATTACTAAATAGTAAATACTTTACACAAATCAAAGGTATTTGAATACTAAATACTTTTACGTCCAGCACAAGCGAATACTAGATACAGATACATAGAAAAGTATTCAAATACTTTAAAAAAATAAGTATTCAAATACTTTAGAATGTATTCGAATACTTTCAAAAGTATTCGAATACTTTCAAAGGTATTCGAATACTATAAAAAGTATTCGAAAACTTTGAAAAGTATTTCATTAACTTACTTTGAAAAGTATTTGAGTACAGTAAAAAGTATTCAAATACTTGTCACTCAAATACATTAAAAATTTAAAATAGTATACTAGATAAAAGTCTTAATACTACTTAAAAAATCAAGTTATACTTTGTATGGGGTTAGCTTTTGTTATATTTCTATTGTTATACCGGGTGATCGAAAAGTAGTGCGGACAATTTGAATTTTCCGTAAAACTAAACATTTATAACGTTGATAACATACCGAATGTCATTTATGTAAAAGCAGTGGTGGATCAATTTAATCACTAATACATAAATAAACTACCTTCTAAACATGTTTGCCAATTCCTTAAGTAAAAAATATTAAAAACTTAAAGCGCCCAATTTAAACTGTCTGCAGTTCTTTTTGATCACCCGATATACAAATTTAAGGGGAGTAAAAGCGTATTATTATTATTATATAGGAGGTACCTACCAGGACCTTTCTTATACCAGTTATATCCTTAAGAATACGTGTACCAGTTTTCAAACCGTCGTGCACATGATACGTACGCCTTTCTGAAATTAATCCTAGCGATTTTGGAACAGATCCATTTTTGACCATCCGTTTGTCCGTGTGCATGATAACTTGTTTAGAAACGTGCGATCGCTTTGAAAATTGGTACACATGGTCTTAAGGATATAAGAAAGGTCCCTATTGTTTTTAAGTTACGTAAACTATCGAGTCAAAAAGTTTCACTCCAGGATCGTTCGGTATTCAGTTGTATCGGATTTTTATATTTGATTTTGTGACAATGGAAACTTTCCCTAAACATTTCTAAATTGTTCTCAAATATTTGAATAACTTAAAAGTACTGCCCTTTTTTGAGGCTCGAAAAAAAAATTGTCTCAGATCGACCCGAAATAGTTATTTATATAACAAGAGCGCGAAGTTCAATTTCGCGCATTGAGACTGAAGGTATTTTGACGAGGCGAAGCCGAGTTAAAATATCAGTCAAATGCGCGAAATAATTTCGCGCTAGCGTTATATACAATATTTTTTTCTACAACTGAACCGATTGTTAATTAAATTGCTGTTTAAGTTCAACTTTGTCCCGTGCGCGAAATACTTTTTTTCACTGTTGACGATTTCGCGCACGTTGTCAAGAGCAACCTTACTTATTAATTAACCGATTAAAAATCTAGTACTTCGCGTTTCGAAATCCGTCAGAAAATGACAGGTTTTTTTGACAGTTGTAGAAAAAAAAAATTTTCTTATAGAATGTGGCCTGTAGAGTCCATAATTTCAAACAGTTCCAAGATTGAGCTACTGGTTCAAAAGTTACAGCCCTTTGAATTTTCTTTCGAAATTGGTTTCTAGTTTATAACTTTTGATTGAGAAGTCTGATCGAAAAAGTACGAATTGTTTTGGATTCTACGCACCAAAATTAATGAGAAATAGTGTTTTCCCGGAAATTTTGGAGTAGTCGATTTTTGATAAAAAAAAGGAAGGTTAAGCATTCAAATGCTATGCGAAGTATTCGAATACTTTACGAAGTATCCAAATACTTTGCGAAGTATTCGAATACTAAATATTTGTATATTTGAGTTACAAATACAAATACTTGCTTCCATAAAAGTATTTAATTACAAAGTATTTGAATACTTTAAAGGATTTGAATACTAAAAAGTATTTACAAAATCGAATACTGCCCAGCTCTGGTTCTTTGATGTAGGTATCGTTCCGTGAAGATTTATTTTACACCTTTTTCCACGGCATTTTTGAACTTCTTCCCTCACGGCCAGTTAATTGACAGCTTTTCTCTTCAAGTCGTTACGATTTTTGCCTCCACAATCATTCACACATTCCCTTCCTTCTCCATTTTCGCGTTCTTTTTTCACTCCGTCTCGTCCTTTCAAGTGTCTCTTTTTCTCCACGCCCTCTTCTTTCCTCCTTTACCCTACCTTCATGCACACTTACCGCATCCTTCACTATATTTTCACCTCCATAGTGGTTCTCTTTATATACAATTTCCTCACGCCTACTTTCTTTAACACATCATCTGTCTTCATCCTTCTTTGGTGCGTTTTAAACCTTTTTCGTTAACGTTTTTATCACGGATTTTTCACGCCAGCAGGTCGTTTTTGGAGGTGATAAGGGTGTCGATGTTTGACCAAATTTTGCAGAAATCCCTATTCACTATTTAAGATTTAAAAGTTGGGGTGACTGGGGCGCAGGGGGTTGGAGGGGGTGCGTCGTCAACTATGTCATTGTGATTCCCCCTCCGAATTACCGAAACGGATTTTGATTTTTTTTAATATCTCGTTTATTTACTAAGTGGTAACTAAGGGCGGTAAGTTTTCAAATTGCCACCCTGTATCCCATAGCTGAGTCGTTCGTAAGCTTAGTCCGTAAGCCCATCCTCCATTTTGGAGCACACTGACAATTAACGTTTGCAAAACGTTGCATGTCCTGCATGTCTTATCATTTAAAGAAAAACCATTGATTTGTTTAACGTTTATTAATGAATAAAGGCATTTAAGAGGTAAGATTTTACACATTAAACAGTTCTTCTGTTTTTGGACTGTTAGTGGGAAGGGAAAGTAGGTCTGTGCTAAATGAACAGTTGACATTCCTCGTATAGGACTGAAAATTTGATATCTGACGGTAGTATTTTAGGGTTCAGAAGAACTTTTTGAGAAGACGAACTTTTTAGCGCATTTTTGCAAATTTATTAGCGCATCTTTGCAAATTTATTTGTAAAAAGTAGCTTTTAATCTCACTTTGGCTGGCTGGCTGGCTGGTTGGCTGGTGGCTGGCTGGCTGGATGGCTGGCTGGCTGGCTGCAAATGTGGGCGCGTAGAAGAACTCTTGTAGAAAGGCAACGGGTGTACATGGCTACATGATGTGGGGTTGGCGACATCTGGGCCTCATCCTCGAGCGTAGTATACTAACGTGAAGGTTTTTCAGTTTTTTCCTATCTTCTACTACAGTTTTGGTCCGATTCTTTTCAAATGGGTGTCGTCGGAAAGATGTTGTAAACGCGCACAACTCCTGCGTGGCGGAATTTTGTTTTTTGTCATAGGGGCGAAATTAACGACCTTTTGCGAGGCGCGCGCGCGCGTCTTCTAGAAGTAGTCAACTTCGGGCGCCTTTTACCTTCCGTTGCGAACTCACGCGGTTTAACGTTTCGTAAATCTTGAATCGCTGTCTCTCTTTCTCGTGTCGCCAATAGAAGCGAATTGCGGGTGAACGGGACGTCGGAAGTGGCTACCGTCAAAGGGAATGTGGTAGCCCCCGACACGATCTTACTGATGGTGGAGTCAAAACTTTAAAAGCGCATTGCGGGTGCACGCGGAAAGTGGGAAGCGGTTAGTGAATGTAGTAGCCTTCGACAAGATCTGTTATTGATGGTTGAGTTGAAAGTGGCTAATAGAATACTGATCTGCCACACAAAAATGCGCTGAAGTCCCTTCGATCTCACACGGGGACTTTGTTAATTTTTTTCGTAATGTTAATAATAAAAATGTTTACCATATGCTACGAACCTAACTGGACACATTGTATATTAGATAATTCCCTAAAAATTGAGTACGAAGTTTAAAAATGAATAAAATCTTCTCTATCTTTGAATATAAATTATTTAACTCTTCTTTATTTTTCTTTTTTTCAGGCCTCCATTTCACTTTTTTTTACCTACGTTATACACCCTTGATGCGGCCTGTCCGAATATTTGCCCTTTTTCGTATAGGTACTTCACACTTCTTTTACTCCAGCTTCCCTTTTGTTCCACGTGGCCTTCACAGTTGGTAGCTGGCCACTTTCTTCACTCCTACTTTTCATCATCAGTTCTTTGCGTTGCAGATCATAGTTCTCTTCCTCCACTCCGTTCAAAATTGTGCATTCTTCTTCATTATTACGTACCTTCCTCTCCCTTCGTCTCCATCCTACTTCGCATCCATTTAACTTTTTCTTCCATCACATCGTTATCTGATGCCAAATAATTCCATGCTATGTTTCTTAACCAGTAACCGATTTAATTGTATAAAAATGACTAAACTGATGATTTTTTACCACCGAAACTTTAGTAAGGGGAGTAATGTTTTGGGGTAAAAAATGACCTCCCACTTTTTTTTAATGGAAATCAGACAAAATCTCCGGTCGGTCTGCCTGCCTGTCTGTCTGTACTCGAAGGTGCGCGGGTGGTATCTGTGCTAGCTACAGTAATTTTTTTATTATTCGTAAAAACCAACGTTCTTGTATTACAAATTGCGCCGTTTAAGTGCAAGTTAAGAATAGAAAGGCTCTTTACGTAATTTATTATTTATTTATTTATTTATCTTACGGGCGAGGCCCCAAAAATTAAAGTTTTCTGTACAATTCACATTACCCAAAAGGTAATTATACTTAAATTACTGGAAAAAAAAGTTACAATAGTTATCTACATAAAAGTTAGGAAAATGACACATTACGGGGCAAGGAAATATTGAAGTACGAGGCCCCTTTGGGGCAGAGTATTTTAATTCCGAGTTTTACTGACGAGTTTTGTTTTAAATTTTACTCAAAATCGAATTTTAATATAAAATTTCAGTTTTTATATAGAACTTTTGAGTAATGTCAACCTGTCAGTGATGACAGGAGTTATTATAGACATTTAGAAATGTCACAGATGCGGCCGGTTAAGTGACGGTGTGGCCGGTAAAGTGACAGGTGCGGCCAGTAAAGTACAAGTGGCAGGAAACGGAGTCTGTTCTGCCTCTGTAATGCAAACTAAAATTTCCTAACAAAAGTTTCCTGACAGAAAGTAGGCATGAAAATGAACGTTTCACGTCCTGAAATGTTTACCCAAAATCATCCATTTTGGGTAAACATTAATTCTTTTTCTATCTCTTCGGCATTTTCTACTTCAGGTGTCTCTAAACCATAGCCTTCTTGGTGCAATCTGTCCACCTCCTGATCGGTATTCCACACGGCCTCTTTTCTTCAATCATCAGGTTCAACATTCTTGTCCACTGAACTATAATTATACTGGAACGCGCGCTCCGTCGGCCAGCGCGATCCGATAGAGAGGACCACAAGGGGGATCTCTGTCCTACTCTCGGGCATGCATAGAGCAGCCTATTTGATATGTTTTGAAATTACATTAATGATCAGTTTCCCAATGAGTGACAGTGACAGAAATCTCCCTTGCACTATCTCTCTCGGCGCTCTACGTTTCTATGGCAGAGGCCGGCAGTGCGCATTCCAGTTTAATTATAGTTCAGTGGTCTTGTTCCATTGTGGCTGTCCTGTATTCTTAATAAATGACCATACCAGATTGGTATTACCAAAATGTATCTCCTAGATTTTCCCTGACGCTTCCATTACTCCCTTCCTAGTCTTCCCGATTTCCCCATAAAAATGGTGAAAATAAAATTTGTCAAATACTGAACAAAAAATAGGAAAAACCGTGTCATACAGGGATTTTTCTTATGGGTGACATTATCTCTCCTCTTGGTCAACAAAGATATTCTTTTATTTAATTACCCTGGCTAGTTCCCTTGAAAATTACTTTAATATAAAATGTTTACGCAATTGTATATATTTTAGTACGTGACGTCTTTTTGTTAAATGAGATTCTATGCTCAAATTTTCGTACATAATTGAAAGTTTGAGCTGTTTTAAAGTGCTGGATGCGTTAGTATCTCTATTTTAAATTTATTTAAGTGAATTCCAATTAAACATTTATATTACATTACACTTTCAAAGCAGAAGGCAAATAATTTAATTTAGCTGGTTTTCAATATGACCTATCAAAAGGAAAGCACAGAACTGAATTTCCATTCTGGAATTCTATCATTCTGTCACTATATCCTCCTCCGTGAAATTGTTTTTGAAAAACAATCTTGCTTTACCGAAACATAATAATAATCTTACTTATTTTTTTTTCATTTATAGATGGTTGTGTAAAATGTATGAAATGCGACAGTCTTGTAGAATTATTGGTCAGTGCCTCAACAAAATGCCTGAAGGGGATGTAAAAGTGGATGATTACAAAATAACACCTCCAACAAGAATGGAAATGAAGGTACGCAGTTAGTTATAGTTCTAGCCGATGGTTAGAAACACATTGCTGTTAAGTGGTAATAATAAAAATTAGATAGTTGGTTGCTATTAAAAAATTAAATAAACTATGTAATAAAGGTCACTGTTCTGTGCTCCGTGTTTCAATAAAGTTTGACCTTAACAAGGATTAGTCCATGACCGCGATTTAAACACTTGTAAGGGTTTCGTCGTAGAAATAGTGAAGTGGAGATAAATCAAGATTGATAAACTTTTTCTTTGCTGAAGATCGACTTCTGTCTCAAGATCATCATCAGGTCATAGGGCTATTTGATGTGGCGATTTGAAATAGTTCTATTGGCGTTGTGACTGTATGATGACAGTTGAGGTCAAAATCGCCTATATACAGGGTGAATCAGAGCACCCGTCCCAGGCTTTTATCTTGGAATAGAGACGCCTTAGAGTTTTAGGAAAAAAATTTTCATTACCAAAGCCTACCTGAAGAATTTAATGGAAGTAGTCTCTATTTCCGGAATTAACCGGAAGTAGGCGTAACAGCACTCAACTTCAGAATTTCAAATGGAACCCTAGGTCTTGTGTGGTATCGTTGGATAGGTATTTTGAAAACAAACAACTTTTGTAGGAAACATTTTTTTTTGTAAAAAGAGTTATTTACGAAATAAAATTAATAAATATGTTATTTACGAAATAAAAATAAATAAATAAAAAAGCTGACTTAAAACCAAATGATTCCTGCTGTTCCCGGCTACTGCGATTTAATTCAAGTGTTTTTGTTTGAAAAGGTAAGACAGATATTGTTTTGTGTAAATAGCAACGTAGTTTTTTGTCATTATTACGACAGGTAATAGTAACTTTACACCTGCATTTTAATGTTAAATTTACATTATTTGTTTAAATTTTTCTTCCATACACACACGTGCAAAGGGTTTTTTATTGTAACAACATGGTATTTTCAAACCGCGAAGGTTTCGATATGCTGATGGTGTTGGGTGAGTGTCGTCAAAATTATAGAGCAGCTGAGAGATTATACGCTGAGCGATACCCTCAGCGACCCGTTCAGTCGAGGAAAGTGTTTCAACGCCTCGCTGATCGAGTTAAGATGACTGGTACAACCGAAACACAATAAGAATCGGCGCATCGGACGGTATGTACAGGATGAAAGAGCGCCTGATATCCTTGCCGCTGTTGCTCTGGACCCACACGTTTCAACCAGGAGACTTGCAATCGACGCTGGGATGAGTCAAATGACAGCTTGGAGGATTTTAAATGGCAACAAATTATATCCATATCATGTTAATTTACATCAGGCACTTGGAGGACAAGATTTTCAGAGACGGTTAGATTTTTGCGAATGGTTATTGAACCAAAACCAAAACTTCCATCACAAAATTCTCTGGACCGATGAAGCAACGTTTAAAAGCAGTGGCGATGTTAATATTCACAACGCTCACTATTGGTCTCGTGAAAACCCGCATTGGCTACGTGAAGTGGATAACCAGAATGTTTGGAGTCTTAATACCTGGTGCGGCATTTTAGGAGGCCGAATTATTGGTCCGCATTTCTTTGACGGCCATTTAAACGGGTCCGTGTACAACGATTTTCTGGAGAACATCCTCTATGACCTTCTAGACAACGTCCCAATTGCAATACGTGCAGAGATGTGGCTGCAACAAGACGGTTGCCCAGCACATTTTTCGAGAGTATCTCGCCAAACTGTCAATCGTCTCTTTCCTAATCGCTGGATGGGAAGAGGAGGTCCGTTTCCTTGGCCAGCTCGTTCCCCTGACCTGACACCACTTGACTTCTTCCTCTGGGGACGAGTCAAAGATATTGTTTATCAACAGCGCCCAACCACGAGGGAGAATATGAAGGAAAGAATTCGAAACGCATGCCGTTTGCTCAATGAAAATGAGGTGCTTAGGGCAGTCGACAACGTCCGACTTCGGCTACAAAACTGCATCAATCAAAATGGAAGACATTTTGAACATATTAATTAATATTTATTTCGTAAATAACACTTTTTACAAAAAAAAATGTTTCCTACAAAAGTTGTTTGTTTTCAAAATACCTATCCAACGATACCACACAAGACCTAGGGTTCCATTTGAAATTCTGAAGTTGAGTGCTGTTACGTCTACTTCCGGTTAATTCCGGAAATAGAGACTACTACCATTAAATTCTTCAGGTAGGCTTTGGTAATGAAAATTTTTTTCCTAAAACTCTAAGGCGTCTCTATTCCAAGATAAAAGCCTGGGACGGGTGCTCTGATTCACCCTGTATT